TGCTGCTATCTTTGGGAATATCTAAACTATGCGGTTTGTTGTATGCTAGGCTTTAAGAAATCAAAAGATTTGTCATTCTTAAGATGTTCCCTTGAGCCTAAAGTACACAAAATCCAAAGATAAGTCGACCCAGAATCTCTACTCCCGTGATAGTCATTCAGTTCTCTACACAACATGTTTCTCTGTTAGCCGGGTCCAGAGAGGGCCATTAGCAGTAACATTTCCATTACCATAAATCCGTACATGTTCTACCGGGAGGACTGCAGTAGGTTTGTGTGTAATTCCTGTGGCCGTTAGCGGCCGCAAAGCGCTCACGGAGTAATTCTCTTAATGTGTGCTGTGACCTTGCACGTCTTGTTCAGGCCAAGTTAATTTAATTATATGAATGACATCCGCGCGCGCATGAATTTTCGGCTGCACCCCCCAAGTTTTCAACCATACTGTAAATCGTACAAAACAGTTGCAAAATGAGCAAATATATACCGTAAGTTGCAAAAAAAAAAGTATTTGAAAACGATACCGATGTGTTAGAATGCCAAAATCAAACGAAACAGACGAAAATGTAAAGAATTTGAAGACTAGATTATTCGCCAAACCATGCTCAGTCATTTGTTAGACCTTCAAAACCACGTAGATTTCATAATGAAAGCAACTTTTTTTTATTTGCACGCTCGCATCAGTTTTGGGGTTCCCAGAGGATGTCACCCATATAATCAAATCAACATGGCCTCATGAGAAGCCCCCGTCACACAAAGCCGAAAATGGCCTCCCGACCACTGCCAAACTCGAACCATGGTCGGGAGTAGGTCTGGAACAAGGTCGGCTGTGGTTGGCGTTCAGTGTTAGTGTTCAGCGAGGTCGGCTATAACAGTTACTACTTTTCGGCTGCGACATCCCAACGTTTAAAATGCTTAAAACATTCGGCGTTGTTCGGCTATGGTTGGTTGACAGTGTTCTGGGGCCAAATTTGACTCAAATAGAACTCAAATTCGATTCAGTTCGCATAGAAAGGGAAGCTTGGCCCAAGTCAGACTTGGCCTTACAGTCCACAGCAGTAAATTTGTTCACTTTCTCATCTCTCCTTGATGAATGTTTTTAATATAAATGGATAAGAAAGAACGAGAAGAGAGTTTATGGCACTGGAAAATCTATCCTGACATCTTGCGCAAAAAGAAATCCAGTGAAAAACATCCCAAACATTAGGTCAAATCTGTTAGAATCATTTCAAGGTGAAACTGTCATCCAGCCTTCAAACTTGTCTTGGGGGTCACCAAACAAATGTACAGGGCACAGAAGATGACAACCAAACGTACAAAAAAAATTGCCCTAACGCAAAGGTCACGCCAAACTGCAAAGGTCAAACCAGTCCGTGTAACATTACAGTTTAACGGTCACGTCTGTTTGAAAGAAAAGGGTTCAACATCCGGGACATTGATCCCAAGATCAAGCCGACCAATTGGAACTTTACGCTTTGATGCCATCATTTTTGACATTTTAGATACATCGTGGACTAAAAGAAGCTTAACATTTTTAACCTTCTTTCTGATCTGTAGCAAGATTGACATACAAGCATTACGATTGAAAAACGTTTACTAGCATACAGCAAGTAAATTTTATGGACGACATCCTGCGCGGACTCCATCTAATGCGATAGGGCAAAAAAGCAAATGCATATATTTTCAAATTTGACATCATGAACCTTGTTACACAAGAAATGATACCTAAGTTTACTGCCAACTATTACAACATTCATTTCTCACTGAAAAATAAAAGTTTTCAATCATTGTACAAATGGTTCTGATTCAGTGAACATCACATATAAAAGGAATGAAATGCATCACTGCGTCAAAGTAAAAGACAAAACAATAAATCAGAGCCTTGTCTTGTCTCCTCTCTTTATAGTTATCTGCCGTCCACCTTCCGGCATGGCAACAGACAAATTTTCCCATTTTCGGCATGTTGACCACTGTCAGAAGGCAATTTTTTTCAAGATCAGGCGAAAATTAATGCGCGCGCTGATGTCATCCATAAAAATTACTTGCTGTGGCCTTACTAACATCAACAACTTTACCCACTAAATCCTTCGTCTTACAAATTTCAGACCTCCAAACTAAGTACTTTCTTTACAGGTACTTACCAAATACCTTGTCGTATATTACAGATTAAACAAGGAGAAGTCGTAGACATCATCCCTCCATGAAATAGCTTGTTATTTTGTAATCTTTTGGTGTATTTCAATAGAGATATTATGAGTAAAACTTTGTTTTTATCAGCAGAATGATTTGTGGTGGCACTTTGTATTTGTCAAGCTGTCATGTGCAGGCGTTTAGTGTCTTGTTACCATGGTTTGTTTACTTTGATGGCCAGCAGGTCATTTGCCTTAGCCTGGGTACCATCCCCAGTAGTATATTCGCAAACTCTATAACTGTTATAGAGTTTGCGAATATACTACTGGGGATGGTACCCAGGCTACATTTGCCTGTACATGTAGGTCAATGACCAGACAAATGACCTGCAGACCAGACAAACAAGATTTATTTTCCTGCAGATCTGTCTAGGGGTAAAAATAGATAGGGCTGCCTGGGTCTGACCTGGAGGTATAAACAAAAACACTCTGTCCCAACTTTTGGGTCAAACAGACCATCCTATTATGAAGTAGGGGTGAAAAAGTGAAAATCCTTTTAAATTAAGCAATAAAAATATGCGACAACCTGCTAATGCACTCCAAAACACAAAGAGACTCAACAACTACCCACATACCAAAAATCATACCAAACCATCCCCCAGATTTTCCAAACATTCAACACAAAAAGTCCAACATTAAACATTTTGTAAATATCAAACGCAAACAGCTAGGGGACCCAAATTTAAACCACTAAACCATGGTAATAACAACTACATGCTACCTTAATATCGCACAAACAGTCCATAACGCGAAAACAACAGAATAAAAAATTAAACTGCAGTACCAAGGTCAATCACCAGGGGCTCAAAGTCAACCTACACAATCTCCAAGGCCCCATCCATCAATCTGCCAAATATCGTACAGTTCCTTCTCACCGATCTTCAGATATCAGACCAAACATGAAACGGAGTAAAAACAGTACCCCCATTTTCATGGAGGGTAACAACAGGTGGCCAGTTGTGTATACAAAGTGATCCAGGGAACGGCATGAAGGGCTCTTGTCTTGACAAGTCTTTTAAACACTGCAAATTCTAAATCTGCCTGGGAAAGTCTGGCCAGTCTGTGTGCTTAATGTCTGATAGATTAACCTTAGGGTTGGAGAAGGAATGTTTGGTGTTTCAACGTATTTTACCATCCCGTTTTGAAAAGTTTTACTTTCGATGGGTTCACCGTGGACTTGTAGTGAAGGGACGCCACCTAGCGATTTTATAACAGATTGCACCTAAACTGTTAAATCACCATTACGTAGGGTACTGTTATCGCATGTTACTTGTTGCTTGTAATCACTAGTACAAACCCCATAAAGCCACATATCCTGTGGGTTATACTTACTTAAAACGGTCCGCCTCAAAGCTTAACGTAAACAGCATTTCCATAGCACCTGGTCAGCAGAATACACAGTTGCGCTTCGGTAAGAAACTATGCAAACCTTCTCCAAAGAAGATTCCAATATAAGATGTGTGAATTAATGACTATAGCTCTACATGTACAGGATAGAAAGGTGGACTTTCGTCAGTTTTGGGTGTATTACCTCTACTCTTACGGTGGATCAGGCCATGGTTGTTTTTTTTTTTTTGTGTGTAGATTTTACATCAGACGCCAGCTGGTTTTGAGAAATCTCTAGCTACAGCGGTATTTTCTAACAAGGAGATATTACCGTCTGGTAATCCCCACAATAAGTAGCTTAGCTGTAAGCTCATCACAACGAGCTTTAACTCATTGGCTGGTGGCGGATTTAGATCAAGGGACAGTTTTATTAAGATCTGGTTTTGAAACTCATTCAAATTTTCTCCAAAGACTACAAGAACATAGACTTTATGCACAGTGTAAAACATATAGTTTCTTTCAGTAATCTTTCAATCTGTGGTCTCTGTATAATATTTTCCAGTTATTTTTGTGACACTATTGTGTATTTTTTTCCAATACTCGCCCCCTCACCACCTAAGACATATTTCCGTTACCTTCCCCTAAGTGTATTGACATAGCTGCTAGCTATCTTGTTTTCAAGATGAAGTGCTTATAATTAAGAACTTAACTCGGAAACTTGTATACAGTGCGATCGACCAACAACTATCGTTAGATAAACACAAGAACCATCTTTATTGTATATAAAACACACATTTACAATTTATGATTAAGCTTCGAAGAAAAGCAAAATATAGAACACCCTTGAAAATCATGTCCTTTTGCGGCTAACAAAACGTCTATTAAGAAAATCATACATATATGAAACAAAATGTGCAATTGCCGACATTCAAAAGCTGTAATAATGTCAATGAAATCGCAAATAAAAGGAAATGTAATAATTATTAAAAACAAAAGGAATTGTTTTTCTATGTACATGTACACTTCTCAGGGGAAACAAGAAAGTGTATCTGAATAGCAACAAGATTGCCAAAAAAATCAAAACAATTGCTGACATGGAATCTAGCCTCGTGCTATGTTGAACTGCCCTCAGCTTGTTTGCTTGAATATCAAGCACCGTCATACACCGACATTAGCTTCTTTCTGTTCAAGTTGGTTGACCGCAAAATTTGAAGCCGTTCTAGTTAATAGAACTGGTTTAAGACTAGGCTTCAAGCCACAATATTATTCAATATTTACACAACATTTTAATTATCTAAGTGAAATTTTATGTGCTAAACGAACCGTGTAAAATTCCTTTTCAATAACACATCACCCTTAATCCCAAGACTATTAGAACACTTTTATTTTCAACACCTTAATTCAAAAGTTCGACGAAAATAAGATTTGGAAAGATATGGTCGAAGGACCAATAAAGAGAATTTTTAACATATAAAGACAATGATTGTCATCATGGTAGCGTGTTTGGGTCAATTATTTCATAGTCTTTATCGTCGATCATGTCGTCACTCCACGTTTTCTTCGGACACCCGAGCCAGTCTTCGACGATCGTCGCGGACTTTGCCGAGCGCGGCAGTCGTATCGTCGACGAACTGTCGATCTTTACCGACGAACTGTCGATCTTTGCCGACGACGAACTCCCGAGTATTGCCGACGCTACTGACGAAGAAGTGCCGAGCTTTCCCGACGCTTTTGGCGACGAACTGCCGAGTATTCCCGACGCAACCGACGAAGAACTGCCGAGCTTTCCCGACGCTTTTGGCGAAGAACTGCCGAGTATTGCCGACGCTACCGACGAAGATCTTCCGAGCGACGACGAAGAATGGCGATAGCGGTAACGAGGTCGCCGACGAACGAACGACGGCGTCTTTGGTTCCGTGGCTGATATCCTCTCGTAGCTGTTACGTTTGAAGACGAAAAGGTCGCTTCCGACTCGCAAGATGGCGTCAGGGTTGTGCGAAGAGCCCAGCCATTTTTTGGAAGAACGCGGGTAATCTTTCGCTCGTCCCTTTCCGGCGATGTACTTGTAGTAGCGGCCTCCTACGAAAACGGAAAGCAAAAAAAAGTAAACATATGAAATACCCAAATGCCCTTCCCTTTCTTTTCTCTACATTTCCTCCCCTGTTCTTTTTCTCACTCCGTCTTTCCCTGTTTTTTTTTACTGCAAATACACAATAATTCTTATCTCGTATGATTTTGAAGGAGAAAGTCAGAAATATCTTTCAGGCAACCCCCTTACATCTTCTTGGAGTTAAGCTCGTCTCCGCTCGCTATATAGACCGATCCTAACTGCCCATCATAATTATCAGCTCAACCAATGACAGCATGGCAATTAGTGATTCGACCAATGACACGCTGTGACTGCATGTCAGTCAAATATGTCTTACTTTTGAAGAAGTAGATGGTTTTCTCGTCCTGTGTGCTGAAGGCGGCGTCTACCCGGGTGTACAGGCCGAAGTCACGTGGGCTCAGGCTCTGCACAGGCGCAGTGAAGTTCCCGTGGAACACCCACACGTTCCGGCCCTACAGGGCATGCGCAGGATATAAAAATAGTCACGGAAAGCAAATTTTTAATGCCCAAGAACATCCTTGAATAATATGAATGACACATCTAGAGACAGGTTAAACTCATCATAAAGTCCTTTCAGCCTGTATTTATTCTGACTTAAACTTAAATAAAGGGTTAATGCCCCGCTCCGAGGTGTATATGGTGAGATAATCCCTGTTCAGATGCGATAACCACCGAATAAACCACCGAGTGAGCGTAGCAACTTTGGGTTACGGTAGGGGGTCGCACTATACAAATCAGGCCAGTATTGTCTGGTATGTGTGTATCTTGCGTGTAACTTAAGTGTAACGCCATACTGGCCTTGCTATTGTCTAAATTCAATGAAAAATAGTTATAAACTGCAATAAGGGAAAGGAAGAGAAGTTAGGAACAGTACATACCATGAACAAGAAGACCAAGCCCCGGTTTGTAAAAGCAGCGTCGATTGGTCCGTCCACGCCCCACCGGTCCTTGATAGTCCACGGACCATCGGCAAGCTCCAGTCCTCCCTGGTACAACTTCCAAAACTTCTTTCCTTTCCAACACAAATAAAAAACATCATAAAGTATAATGCTTAACTGCCCTTAAAGCAATTAGCAATTAAGAATTGCCTGTACAAAATGATTGAGTCCCTTGTAGTGTACGGGAAAATTTGGATGGACGGCCAATGTTCTTTCGTGGATTACAATGAAATCTAAATTCACAACTCAGATATAACGACAGTAACTTTAACTTCAGAGTACCTCGGAAGGCAAAAACTGTTCCATTTGGCATCTCTAGCACGGCATCGAAATGTACTTGTTCTTGGCACCACTCTGGACTCTTCCTCTCCTCAGGAGCGTTTGGCAAAATGTCGTTCTTAGTTCCTGTCAATCAAAAAGATGACAAAGAAAGGAAAACATCGTAGTTAGTACGAAATAGATGGCGCCCATGTAGTATCAAATGTATCTCTAAGCGTCTTTCGCACAGTGCAGAAGTGACACCTTCCGAAATCAGATAGAACTGCAGAATGAAAACTTACCGTACAGTCTCTGAAAGTCTCATGTAGATGACAAAAAAAGACGACAATGTAGTTAATATGAAATAGTAGTATCAGATATTCCGCCATGCCGCTTTCGCACAGTGCAGAAGTGACATCTATCGAAAACAGATTGAACTGCAGCGTGAAGTCTTACCGTACAGTCTCTGGATCCCTGCGACGTCGTCGGGGTGTAGTTTGAAGAACGGCCGGTACATGTAGGTGGGGATCATGATGGCGTCAGGCACGTCGGAGTGACCCAGGCCCAGGGTGTGCCCTAACTCGTGCACCGCTACCTGGTACAAGTCCTTGCCTGCGTCTAGAAGTAACAAATTGTTCTATACTAGAAGTACAGCATTTGAGGGTGGGACACTTGTCACATACATAAGTGTACAGTCCATAGCCTTTTTTTGAGGCTAGGGCAAGGAGGTTATTATTCACTGTGTCAAGTAGACGGTATTTTGGAAGGTAGAGGCCAACCCTCTCCTTCCACCGCATTTCGTGACCTCCCCAACCGAAATCAGGTACCCATTTTATACCTGGGTTGAGTGAGGAAAGTCGTGCAAAGCACTTCTCCCAGGATTTCAACCGAATATCTCTGGGTTCTGGTGTTCCAAACACCCTGCCGTTACACCACACGACCCTAGGCTCTACCAGGCTTCCGGAGGCGGCTGGAAAGAGTAGATATTGGCCAAACAGAGAGAGATAACATGCATATGCCGGGGGAGTTGGTCGGCTGAAGAGTACATTGTACCTTTTCTATAATCTTTCCAGCCGCCTGCTGAAGCCTGGTAGCCTGGATACCATCCTGGTTAGTTTACGTCCGCTCCAAACTAATCAGGATGGTACTCACTAGAAACCTGGTAGAGGCTAACACGACCCCACGACTCTCACATATATTTAAGTCGTCTAATTTCACAGTTTAAAGTATCAAGTTGAAATAGGCATAGAATCTAAAGTATATAACGTTACTAATGTACCGTTCAGTTCGCCCACGGTCCACGTCTCAGCTTCGTCAAAATGGCAGTTGCCGCCATACTCGGGGTAGAACGCATGCGCCAGAGTCCCGCCAGGTCCGTCGAACGTGTTCTTGGTGCCGTCGCCATGGTAACCCTGGGCGAACCGGATGGTGACGTCAGACTTGTAATATGGCGGCACTCTCCGGAACTCTATGTTGATGACGTCACTCCAAACCTAAAACGAGATAAAAAGAAGAATTGACGAAAAGACAGCGCGCATCTTGACAAAAAACCCTCTCATAACCAACACCCATTGATGATGGCATGTTTTCAGACAGTTACATTTTCAGAATTTGTGAAAAAGAACACACGACGGAGATCAAAAAGAGATAAATTATGTTTTTGCTCAGTTTCTTCTTCCTCTTCTTCTCCAAACAGTGACCTCTGACCTGAACCAATGTTGTATCTGTTGCCATGGTAACTAGTGTCGGGTTACACCATGTTGCAATTTCATAGCAAGAGGGATTTATTCTCCTGTCTGCTAATGTGTTTGAATTAACAGAGCAGCCACCATATGCGAAGGTAAACGTTGTGCATTTGTCTTGCAAATGTTACCTTTCAAGTTTTTAGTTAGTTTTGTTGGGTCAAAACTGTTCGCTTTGCTTGGCTTCGCTGACGAAGATTTCAAGGCCATTTTGTCCACTATCTGTTGCAGTCTCTCTTGATCTCTTTGGCTCTTACAAGGCCGAAAATATAAAAGCAATATAAATCACGAGCATAAATGAGCATTTATACTCGTAACCTCGATCTTTTAGTACCTTAAAAGCCATGGCCATGGCTTCGTTGACCTCACTCCGTGAGAGATCAGGGGTGTAGCTGATGATCTTGTACGTGAGTTCCTTCTTCTTCCACCTGCTGCCGCCGAGGCTGTACAGACTGGCCATGCGGGGGCCCTCGCCTCCCCGCCCGCCCGCACACGACTGGGCTGCCGGCTCGGGCTCGATGTCAGGCATGCCACACCGCGGTCTCTTCATCGCTCGTATTGTCTTTCTGTCTAATTTACCTGGGAATAAGATAATGAAATGAATTGTCTGATAAATAGAAAACAACATTGCTAACGTATTGGTGCATGGTGAGGTTTTTTTCAGCGCACACCTTTATTACATTTCATGGATGAAATATATTGTTTTCCTTTGTGTTTCTTCTCCTTCTCCTCCTGCCATTCGGTAGAATGGATTCAATTACTCTGTCATTGTTCTTCTTTGTCGGTTGGTTTAGATTCAAGTTAAATGTCAAGTGGAGCTGCAGAAATAAGTGTATAACTTGAGTGCAGTCCCACTTTGTCCTTCTCGTTGTGTTTTCGATAAAGAAAATAGGAAAACTACTACAACTACAACAACAGCAACAACAACAACAACTACTACTACTACTACTACTACTACTACTACTACTACTACTACTACTACTACTACTACTACCTATACGAAACAATCACACAAACGACCACACCCAGTGCTGTATCATTAACCTGGGTTCCAGACTGTTTCCAGGGCTAGTTTCACAGCTCCATGGCAAACATACCCCCCAATGACACAGCCCCCCTCAGTGTAGTATCATTACGTTCTACCTAAAGTCTGGATTTCTAGATTGATATTGCAATTTATGGACCAGAAAGACTATCGTTGATATAAGATCTGTAAAATGGTAATTTTGAATCATCTTATCTACACCTGTACAAGTACAGTCTGTTACATTGTGCGTAGAATATAGTACAGTGCAACAGCGAGTGTTAACAACGATATATTGTGCATTCCGATCAGAATTAAACCTGACGTGACGGAAAGAGATGAAGCAGATTTTCAAACCAAACAGGGCCAGGCACGCTCTGCTATCTTAGGTGTGACCTGCTCAATCTTTACACCTGCTTCTCATCATTATATCCTCACACGGCTCTGACCTGAAACTTCCGCAAATCGCCCCAGTCACAGATGGGAGAGCTGTCGTTAGAATTTGCTGTCAATCATTTGGATGAGCTAGATGAGAGTCCATGCCTTCATGTACCGGAATAACCCCCATGTATTTGTCTTAACTCTGTTTATACGGCTACGTTCTTCTGGCTTGTACGTATATTGGAAATTTTGTTTGAAAGAATAGCTTTCTGGAATTGCATTTTTTGTCAACATCAGAGGACCGTTATTGAATGTCATTGACCTGAATAAAGAGCTAATTTTGTGTACAAATGAGATGCTACGTGTAGCTACCATACAGGGAGGGAGCGTTTACTGTTTTGACACATTTTGAAGCTTAGAATGGATATTTTGTAAATACCCTGATCGAATCTTACCATATCGTGTTCCTAATGACTGTCTTTCATACTAATAAAGCGTTGAAAAAACAAATTCCAACATAGTAAAATGTCAAGCTAATGGTGGATCCAAATAAAGTGGTCAAAACGATGTTAGGTGCCAATTTTCTCGTCATATTTCACTGACGTTGAAAATGTCGTCCAAGTCATGACCTATTGGACTTGGTCAAAGGTCACAGAGGTCAACCGTGATAACGACCACCTGATGACACACATATGTTCGTATATCTATGTCAGGTCGGGTAAGGGTCGTGAGATATCTCTTAATGTGGTCTGGTGTCAATAAAAATGAGGAAATTCGCAACGGGTTGAGACTATTAACTAGACAACATGTCAGTTAACATTAATCTGCCTATATTAGAAGATAAGGCATGCTATGGTATTAGGTAAAAGGTATTTAGTTCACGAATAAAGAGTGACAGTATAATCTCCCGCAGGGCCAACCCAAATATACACTATGTAGTCATGTTGTACCTATTAAATCCTTCTGATAAATTTTGCATGTCCATCGAAACCTTTGTAATTATATTACTGTGGGAGTTCACATAGGATATCCTAAACGTGAAATCATACAAGAATTGGCCATTGGTCTATTTGGTCAAACGTTACGTTTTCTTATGGTCTTAGCATTGACATCTTGATAAGGTGATAGTGATAACCTGTTATTATGTCAAGTTTTCCACAGATATCTTAAATATCAATGGATAGATAAAGAAGTAAAGGATTTGGATTTTTAATATATGATATGTGATTATGATCATTCACATTCAGCCATACCTTTATAAGGACCTCCAGGCTAATGTGACCACTTTTGTCTTGTACCTTAGATACTTTTTCCAATTGACACAAGTATCTACATGTTTAGAGACCACATGTCCATATAGACCAGATTTTATTGGTCTTCTGAGTGGTCTTGTTGGGCAGGTTTTGGTGCAGATAAACAGTATATAACGTATTATATACGACCAAAATACTGACTAAAGCATGGGATAGAGTCAAGATTCTATTGAGCAAACGGACGCTGTCCAACTGTCATACTCATAGTGTACATCTGTACGGAACTGATTACCTGACTATCTAGGTATGTAGAGATAACCCATTAGGGGGTTGACAAGATCCCGATGGTAGGAAATATTCAAACCGTTCCTCTGCGACCCCCAAAGTAACCCTCGTAAATCTCTAATTACATAAGAGGATTTCAATATCTACAGGTTATGTTTTATGATACAGAGTAATCCGCATTTATGGATATTGAGATAAGAATCTTTTCTCTAGATCTGTTGACCAGATGTTCATAAAATATGCCCTTGAGCTTCGTGGTTATTTTACGACAATGATAAGGTTTTACGACAGCGAGTACTATACGTTACATGTAAAGACAAAAAACGCTTTGCTGATCTCCAAGCAGATCCTAGGGTGGCAAAAGACAGTATCAAATTGGCCAGGCAATATCTACCCTTGGGTGGCATATGGACCCATCTGGTGGGACATTTTAAAACACTTTGCAACACTTTCTATGTAAAACGTGAAAACATAGTGTTTTTGCTCAGTCTCCTCTTCTTCTCCGAACCAAAAAGGTCAATGACCTGAGCCAGACGTCTGTCACCATGGTAACTAGTGTTGGGATACTTCATGTTGCAAGTTTAGAGCAGGAGGGATTTATACTCCTGTCTGACCATATATATGAATGTGTTTGAGTAAGAATTAACAGAGCAGACCTATACGAAGCTTTGCAAATATTACCTTTCTAGTTTTCTTTATTATTATTTTTATACTCACATGTAACCGGTAAGTTCATGAACCGTTGGAACTTGCAGATCGCTTTTCTGACGGTGGGTGTGAGGTCTCCCCGTGACGTCAGCCCCGCAGGCGCACTAGGGTCTTGTTCTGCATAGCCGTACTTCGATAGGTAGTTCTGGGTAGGGTACAAAAAAAATCTCAAGTTATTGGTTTTTCAGGCTACACTGTAAAACAACCACGACTAGCTAATGACTACTAGAAGAAACCATATTTACGTAGCATGAAAGTTCATCTGTTGTACATGACGAAAGTACATGACGAAAATGCTAAAACTTTATGTCCCAACACTAAGTAAATTGGGAACAAGCTTAAGGCTGACGGAGTTAGCCGAACATGTGTGTAAGTCCCACTTTACGTAGTGTTGGAACAAGTTTAGCCTTTTCGTCATATAATTTACTTGGTCAATTTTCTATAATGTCATTTAAACTTGATACATTGTAACTGTAGGATTCATGAACGCAGAATAGTTTCTGGCTCACAATATCAAGCCATATTCTAATGAGACAGATTTTTTTCTGATCCACAATCGTTAGGTTATGAGTTTGCCCGGTCGCCAGTTCTATTTTCGGTCTAAATTACTTGTTAACTAGCACAGAAGTTCAACTGTGTTAGCAATGTTGTTTTGTTACGGTCTGTGGTTGTCTGAAGACTTTACCACACAAATAGAACAGTAGGGAATAATTACGAACTATAAGGGGCCGTCAATGGCGTAACAGCGTATACGTCGTAATCAACTACCAATGACAGACCCTGTTACATAACAACGAAGTGACCTTGGGACCAAAAGGTGGGGAGGGGGGTAAGATCAAACAACCTGTTCGAATGCTAAGTAGATAAATAGATAAAATGATCCACACTCGACGGACCTTACAGTGAAAATAGAAAAGAATAGACATCAAGGTAAATAACATAAGCCAAAAAAAAACACCACCAACATACTCAAGCAACTGGATATGATTTTGGAAACGGTCAGACGTTTCAGGTAGCATTCACTGCCTTTCCGACTTTCGTCAGTGGCACTGGAGAGCTATTTATTCATATGTAAAAAAGTGTATAAAAAAAGACAATACAGCCAAACAGTCCCTATATATACCATGTCTTGCTTGTTTTATTCCGTTTCATTCACTTGTATATTTCTGATCTTGGTTTTGACTTTAAATTGTTGTAGTTAGTAGCAAAATGTGACCTTGACGACAGATGTGTCCTTGATTCGTACTTCAACACTACCTTCCCTACAGCCCCTGCGGAGTGAGGGATGGGTTTGTGCTACCGACTGACGTTTGTCAACACTACGTGGACAAGCAATCACGACGGAACGTCGACCTTTGACCTGCAGGAAACAAGATGGCGATGACAGCTCGAAGTGACCCCTGGAGATAGCAGCCAAGGTGAGAAAAAAGTGATATACGAACGCAAGTCGACATCAATCGGTGCAAAAGAGCTCAAATATGCCATCTTAACCTCTCACCTGACAGTCTTTCTGTCATACATAACGATATAACCACCTGTGTCGTGTGCATCCAATGCAATTTCAGGGTGGCGAAACAAAATATTATGGATGAAGAAAATTGGTAGTAAATGTCAATATCAGACATATTATATGACTGATATTGCCATATACTGTGATTGTAGTCATCATGTCGTACTGAAAAATTTTGAAATAGCTCCAAGACAAGGAGGCGCAGTCCCTTTATTTTTTGGTACCACCCGTAAATAACTAGAACCAGCCTACATGTACGATACATAACAAGCAACCATTTTCCATCAACGACATCGTAGATATCAGTATGCTATGGGACAGGGGTGATTCAAGCTTACAACATTAAAAAATCGACCAGAAAAAAAAAAAAAATTTTACTGTCCCGAAATCACGTTGAAACTTGCAATTGACTTAGGGTGTCGCAGCTGTTACAGGTTAAAGTCGCCCTTACAGTAGCACTAGTAACAGTTAGGTGCCAGGACTCCATTACTTGAAACGCCATGATTGAAATATATGTTGTATTTCACCCTTTACATTAACTTTTACGCAAATGTCAATCGATGACAAATTAGTGAGACGGCCTCTTGTCTCTTCTAAACTCCCCGAACCACACGAGTTCTCCGTGTGTCTACCATTAGCACAGTATCAGCAACAAGGAGTAATCTAAACCAGACAATGTCTTAAGAAAAGACTTCTTGGAATGTCCTAAGGCGAGCCAAATGTCTTTAAGAGATCCCCTGTTGCGATTTATCCAGCTGGACTGTCGAAATTCTCTTTGCTGATAATCTTGTAACAGTGTAAGATTCTTGGAGGACCTTTTCAAGATTCCGAGGTATAAGAAGGTTGGGAATGCCGACGTGTTCCGGAGAGCCTGAGACGCTCAAGGTGATGGTGAGGGCCAAGATGCTGATAGAACTAATTTTAAGAACCTTTGAGCTTGACAAGAAAGATTCCTACACACTTAGGCAGTACTAGAGAGCTTTTAGGAGTTCTGTTCTTTTCCCATCCTCATTCATACTCAATGCTTTTTTCCATGTAGCTACTAGTGCAATGTGGCTCGCGTATCTAGTCAAGCAGGTCGGGCCACCCTTATACCTTTCTCAATACATGTGTTAAGTTCTTCTACGTGCAGATGTTTAGTGGCATATAAGCTCCCCCATGCATCTAGCCGCCGGCTTTACGTCCCCAACCGAAATGACGATGCAACACTTTCCTAGTCATGACCAGATACGGCTGTGAACTCGGACATAGGCAAAAATAGGGATGGGGACATGTTAAAAGCTAGAAGCAACTTGAAAGCGATTCAACGATGCGTATTAAAACGACACTAAAAATCTTAACTCTGGTAGATGGAAAACATTTCACTTTCCATTTATCGTCGTTCTATAGGAGCTAAAAAGGGCAGTAGAGATTCGGTCATCAACAGTCCTGGTATGTACTGACCAGGACAAGGACACAGGTGTACGGTACAAAACAACTTCGTCATTTTGACACCCACTGCTAACGAAGGACAAAATCATCAACCGTTACCGCCTCACGTCTTTTCTCTTCAACAATGCCATCTTTTGTATATCCAAGCTATACCACAGCAAGTAAATTTTATGGATGGCATCCTCCGCAGACTCCAAATCTAATGCGAGCGGGCGAAAAAAAACAAGGCGGGCCGAAAAAAAGGTTTCTACAATTTAAAATTTTGACTCAATCATTGTACAAATGGTTTTGATTCAATGGGAACATCACATATACACAGCGAACACCACATATCATTGCATTAAAGTAAGAAACAAAACATTAAATCAGAGCCTTTTCTTGTCTCCTCTCTTCATAGTAATCTGCCTTCCGGCATGGCAACAGACATCTTTGCCCATTTTCGGCATGTTGACCACTGTCAGAAGGCAACAAAATTTCTTGTTTTATTCCCCAAATCAGGCGAAAATTAATGCGCGCGCTGATGTCATCCAAACAAATTGCTTGCTGTGGCCTAACACTGCCATGTATATCCAAGCTAACGAGAACTAGCGGGTCTAGGGTAAAAGTCATTCACCCAAATTGACGACAACCTTGAAGCAGAGGGTTGCGGATTTCTTCACTTTCTCATGCACGTAAGGTTTCGGAAGTTATCAAGGAGAATCTGGTGCAATACTGACCAGCTGTGGGTCTGGTATTCACGGTCAGACTGTTCAGATAACCTTTGTTAGCACGTTATCATGGGCTGTCATTGGGCATTACCCTACAGGTATCTCAACATAGATTAGAAGATCTACGTGCAGGCAATGCAATGAGATCGGCAATCTTGGGAGGTTATACCTGACAAACGAAACTGTGGCATCTATATTCTGCACCCACAAGGCCCAAAAGCCCACTTTTTGGTCCACTTTTTATCTAAAGATTTCTCTTTAAAAGATGGACTGATTCGTGTCAACAGCGAGGCTGGAATCGAAGGAAAACTGCTCACTTTGTCATTGAAAAAAGTTATGCCATTTCAGAAGGTTCATTTTCCAAAATTTCCCCGGGGAGCATAGCCCGGACCCCCCAAGGAACCTCGCGCCTTCGGTGCTCGTTGGTCCCTCAAGC